CACTAATAAACATTTAAGATGGTAAATTTTGTGTTCTGTGTTTTTCACATTTTTTATTTATTTGACAGACAGAAATCACAAGTAGGCAAAGAGACAGAGGGAGTCAGGCACCCTGCCGAGCAGAGAGCCTGATGTGGGGCTTGATCCCAGGACCCTAGGATCATGACCTGAGCTGAAAGCGGAGGCTTTAACCACTGAGCCATCCAGGCACCCCTCCACATTTTTTTTTTTTTAAGAGTAAGATATGGTGCCAGCCCTCAGGGAAGATTTCATTTAAGCTGGAGAGAACTACAGATGCATGGGACCAGTAATAACACATTGTGTATTAAATATCAATCATGGCAATTCCCAGCTCACAGTTATTGCCCTACTCCCCAGTCATAGAGGTAGACCTGAACCAATGATGTCCAATGTCCTTGTAACTTGACCCTGACCTCTGGCCACCTCCTGGGAGGAGACAACTGATCTAACCTGCACATATTTCTGAAACTTGAATGGGAGATCAGAAACTGGAGCTGTTGGAGCTGCTACCTGAATGGAGGTGTCTAGAAACTCCAGTTGCTGAGGCCTCAGAGCTGCCCAGCTTCCCGCTCTTTGCAAAGCCAGGCTGGCTAGTGCTGCCTCTGGTTCCGAGAGCTGCTGCGGAGTCCTTCCAATACATCTCTGTTGACTGAAGCTAGCCACAATCACTGTTGTTTTCCACAAAATAACTTGATTTAAAACCCAAACCATAAGTGCTTCTTCTGGGAAATGAAAGTTGCAGTTGATTGAGGACTTGCTGGTGATAAGAGAAGGAAGGTCTTTAGTCAGGTAATAATATAGGTGGTTGATTGGTTAGTTCATAGATTTACACAGCAAATTCTTGTTCCATAAACAAACACCTTACCTTGAAGGAACTGCTTATGGCTTGTTAACAGGAGCAGGTTACTCTCCTATTGGATGTATGGGGTCACAGGAGGAGGAAGGGGTTGTGTGTGTGGCCCAAGCTGTGCAGGGTTGCTCCCCCTTCTCCCGGTCCTTATTCAGTTGCAAAACTTTGCTAAGCGGCGCCTGGGTGGCTCAGTAGGTTAAGCCTCTGCCTTTGGCTCAGGTCATGATCCCAGAGTCCTGGGATCGAGCCCCGCATCGAGCCCCGCATCGAGCCCCGCAT